AAGATGAAATCTCGATTTAGATTCCCGAATTGAAGTATGAGCAGAAATTCTCGAGACTAGCTTCTGATTGATTAGAGTGATTCTCCAACTTAGGTGAGTAGTTCGGTTCTTGATCCAATCTTTGATGCTTATTGCAAAACTTGTACAATGGGCATATTCGACTAAGATCCCAGCAACATTCAACTTAAAAAAATACCTCAGATGATATCATAGATAAGTCAGATCCAAGTGAGAACTCAAAGAGTCATTCATATAACTTGATGGCACTCCGAGAATCCTTTATTTATAGTAGTCGTCTCCTGTCCTCGCTGTCTGTAGTTAGAGGAAATATTTTTTATTGTCATTCTCTTATCTTTTGTTTTGTTTTTTGGATAACTTGGCTCTGCCTGTTGAGTCTCCAATTGGCCAATCATATTTGTTTATATCACATAGCCATCTTATTCGTAAGTTTACTAATACTCTCATCGGGTACAATAGATATTGTAAATCCCAACACAAACAGTTGGTGCATTGTTTCAATCGACTCCACCAATCTATCAAATTTAGTACATGCATATACCTACAGAACATAAAACTTGCGCTGAATTATATTGGTATATATGTGAACACTTATTAGGATACTAAAAGCATTAAAGAGCCATTGTTTTCAAATGTACTAACAAATTTAGAACACTTATTTGTTGAAATGTGCTAACAAATTTCATTTTTCAAACCGTGTAGGGATTAAATGAAAAGAAAAAACCATCGTGAAATTTGGAGTTAAATTATGGAACACAAACTACAATATGTTCTATGATGCAACAAAGAGTTTGTTTGGCGTCTTATTAGTCGAAGCCGCCATCCAATGTGAGAGCTTCTATATATATAATCCAACATGGTTGCTGGTGTTAGCGAATAAATATACCGTAGTTGATGAGCCAGCACGACTAGGTCCACGGGTCGATATCAGGAGCTTCCTGTAAAGTGAGCTGGATGATGAGGTGGTTGCGCTCTCAAGAAGGAGTACTGGTTGGCGTTGGTCAGGATCTGGGCCGATTGACTGCTCTCCTTTACGTAGTAGATGACGTCCCCTGGGTTAAGACGCTCGTCACTCACGGATAGTCATTTGCCTGTAAAAACGACCCTTATCGGACGATCCCCGACTATGGCCCCTCTGACGAGCAAGTCAGTAATAGGATCGATTGTTTCTTTTTTTTAGTCCCCTTTGGTCGAAGGCCGGCCGGGGGCTTTATACTATTGCCTGAGGGTCGATAACTCCTTGATTCAGCGTGGCTGTTGACCCTCAAGAGATGGGTCAGCTCCCTAATCGGCCACTATCTCGGGGTGCGCCAAGCAGCATTAGACGACATCGCCCCGAGCTCTCGGGACGGGACAGGCAAAACAGCTTCTTGGTACAGTTCTGACTTGGTGTATAGTTCTGACTTGGTGTGTGGCGTGTCTTGGGCCAAAATAGGCCGAGGCATGCCATGGGGTCCTTAAAGGACTGAGAGGCATGCTTGGGTCGGAGTGATGCGATAGCGTGGATTGCTTATGAGGGGAAGCTAGATTGGCTCATTGTGGGGTCAGTTTGGAGGGGCAATGCCCTGTGCCTCGGGAAGGGTTGCCTCCGCCAATCGGGTGGCTAGGGCCAGATGAGGCGAGACCAACACGTTGTAAGTCGAATGACCAGTTTGGTGTGGCTCCGAGTCGGGGTCAGCGAGTCATAAATTGTGGGCCATGTTAGGATGACTTGGTAGTAGATCGGCGAGTCGTGAATTTAGGATCGAGCTAGAGCAACTCGGTTAGAGACTTGACGAGTCGCGAGCCAGAGATTGACGCAGGGCGACTCAGACAATGGACTAGGCCAGCGAGGCGTGGCTCGAGCATCGGATTGGCCGAGATGCGACTCGGGCATCAGATTGGTCGAGATGCGACTTGGGCATTGGATTGGCCGAGATGCGACTCAGGCATCGGATTAGCCAAGATGTGACTGGGCACTAGACTGGCCGTGAGGCATGGCTCGAGCGTTGGATTGGCTGAGATATGACTCAGGCACTAGACTAGCCGTGAGGCGTGGCTCGAGTGTTGGATTGGTCGAGATGCGTGGCTCGGGCGTCGGATTGGCTGAGATGTGACTCGTGCATTAGATCAGCCGAGATGCGACTCGGGCATTGGATTCGCCGAGATGCGTAGCTCGGGCGTCAGATTGGCCGAGAGGCATGGCTCAGGCGTCGGATTGGCCGAGATGTGACTCAGGCACTAGACTGGCCACGAGGCATGGCTCGAGCATTGGATTGGCTGAGATGTGTGACTTGGGCATCGGATTGGTCGAGATGCGACTCGGGCGTCGGATCGGCTAAGATGCAACTCGGGCGTTGGATCGGCCGAGATGCGACTCGGGTGTTGGGTTGGTCGAGATACGTGGCTCGAGTGTCGGATTGGTCGAGATGCGACTCGGGCGTCGGATCGGTTGAGATGCGTGGCTCGGGCGTCGGATTAGGCCTATGGGTCGAGTGATTGAGCTCGGGCTTGAGTTCTAGTGACAGCAGGTCACAAGCCAGGAGCGATCTAGAGTGACCCGGGCAGAAGCTGGACCTGTGGGCCGAGCGACTATGCTCGAGTTCAGGCTTCGGTGCCAACAGGTCGCAAGTCGGGAGTGAACTGGAGCGACCTAGGTAGGAGCTAGATCGGGGAGCCAAGTGACTATACTCGGGCTTAGGCTTTGGTGCCGGCGGGTCGCAAGTCGAGAGCGAACTGGAGCGACCCGAGCAGGAGCCAAACTTGTGGGCCGAGTGATTATACTCAGGCTCAGGTTTCCATGTCGATGAGTCGCAAGTCGGGAGCGAACTAGAGCAACCCAAGCAAGAGCTAGATCTGGGAGCTAAGTGACAATACTTGGGTTCAGATGTCGTCGGGTCGCAAGTCGGGAGCGAGCTGGAGTGACCCGGGCATGAGCCAAACTTGTGGGCCAAGTGATTATACTCGGGCTCAGGTTTCGGTGCCGACGGGTCGCATATCAAGAGCGAACTGGAGCGACCCGAGTAGGAGCTGGATCTGGGAGCCAAGTGGCCTCGTTGGGCGGCGCATCGGTTCATACCCGGACGCCACCGTGCCATGTGGTGAGGTAGGCGAAGTGACATGGGACCTGGCGGGAAACTTTTGCTTTGAATGGCCTTTGGTGGGCG